CGGGGCCTGGGTCTATCCCGGATCCGAGGATCCATTTGGGGTCGGGCGCCTCGATCCAGGTGTTCCCATGGGAAGGCGGCTGCGGGTGGGGTTTCCAATCCCCTCGGGAAGCTCCGACCCGCAGAGCCCAAATCCCGGGAATTCGGGGGCTCCCTGCCCCTCCCGGAGTGTCCCCGCTGTCCCCGCTGTCCCCGCTGTCCCCGCTGTCGCTGACGTGTCCCCGCCGCTGTCGCCGCTGTCACCGGGCGCCGCTTTCGCTTTGCCCGCCCGCAGTTCCCGGTCCGGGGCTGCGGGAGCGGCTCCCGGCGATCCCAGCGCCGCCCGCTCCCCGCGCTCCGGGATCACAAAGCGGGGATTGGGTCCCGTCCGGGGCTTTCCCAAACGCGCAGCCTGGAGAGGGACGGGGGCACCCACGGGGGCTGCTCCGGCCCCATTCCTGTTCCCAATCCCTGCTGGGATCACACCCACCCCTCCTGTGGGATTTATCCATTCCCAATCCCTGCTGGGATCACACCCACCTCTCCTTTGGGATTTATCCATTCCCAATCCCTGCTGGGATCACACCCACCTCTCCTTTGGGATTTATCCATTCCCAATCCCTGCTGGGATCACACCCACCTCTCCTTTGGGATTTATCCATTCCCAATCCCTGCTGGGATCACACCCACCCTTCCTTTGGGATTTATCCATTCCCAATCCCTGCTGGGATCACACCCACCCTTCCTGTGGGATTTATCCATTCCCAGTCCCTGCTGGGATCACACCCACCCTTCCTTTGGGATTTATCCATTCCCAATCCCTGCTGGGATCACACCTCCCCTTCCTTTGGGATTTTCCCATTCCCAATCCCTGCTGGGATCCCATCTTCCCCTCATCCCTTTTCTTTCGGGATTCACCCTTGGGGTTTGCCCCCTTTTGGGATTTCCCCCCGCCCCGGGGTCATTCCCAGATCCAGATTCCCCCCCTCAGGGGTCGGGCACCGCGCCCCCTGTGCGGGGCTGTGGGTTCTGATCCCGATCCCAAAGCTCGGCGGGATCGGGAGTGTTTGCTGGGTACGGGGCCCTGGGGCCGTGCCGGAGCTGCAGCGGCCCCGATCCCACAGCAGCCCCCCGGCGCTGGCCCTGGCCGCGGCCCTGCTGCTCCTCGGCCTCGTCTCCCTCCTCATCCTCACCGGCGGCGTCGGCCTCGTCCACGACCCCCTGTTCTGCGGTGAGAGCCCGGGCTGGGATTGGGGCCGGGGTTTGGGGCTGGGGCTTGGGGTCTGGGGAGATCTGGGGCTCTGGGACCCACGTGGAGCCGGGGTTTGGGATTTGAGGGGGATCGGTGGGACCCACACAGAGCAGGAATGTGGGGTTTGGGGTTTGGGGGACCCGCGGGGAGCAGGAATGTGGGGTTTGGGGTTTTGGGGGACCCATAGCGAGCAGGAATGTGGGGTTTGGGGTTTTGGGGACCCATGGCGAGCAGGAATGTGGGGTTTGGGGTTTTGGGGGACCCACAGGGAGCAGGAATGTGGGGTTTGGGGTTTTGGGAGACCCACAGGGAGCAGGAATGTGGGGTTTGGGGTTTTGGGGGATCCACAGGGAGCAGGAATGTGGGGTTTGGGGTTTTGGGGGACCCACAGGGAGCAGGAATGTGGGGTTTGGGGTTTTGGGAGACCCACAGGGAGCAGGAATGTGGGGTTTGGGTTTTTGGGGACCCCGCACGGAGCCCCCCGCTCCCCGCAGTGCTCGTGGTGTTCTCCTTCATCTCGGCCGTGGATCTGCTGATCGCGCTGGAGGAGGACGGGATCATCTCGGGCTTCATGGAGCTCTACGTGCGGGAGGTGCCGGCCCTGCCCCGCTCACCCCGCGCACCCCCGGGGGCTCCGGCACCCCCGGACCCCGGTGCGACCCTCCCGGTGTCCCCAGCCCCGGTGTGACCCTCCCGGTGTCCCCAGCCCCGGTGTGACCCTCCCGGTGTCCCCAGCCCCGGTGTGACCCGTGTCCCCTCCCGGTGTCCCCGCAGGGCGATCCCCACCTGCGCACGGCTCACGGGCTCCTCACCTGCTACTGGGACGGCACCGTGCACTACGGGCTGTGCCTGGCCATGGCCGCGGCCGCGGGGCTCAGGTGGGCGCGGGGCGAGAACCCCGAAATTCCTGAGGAGGGGGCGGGAAAATCCCGAATTTCCTGAGGCGGGGGCTCGGGAGAATCCCGGATTTGCTGGGGAGGGGGCGCGGGGGGACGGGGTGGGGAGCGTTCCCGAGTTTCCTGAGGAGGGGCCCTGATGATCCCGGGAGGGCTCGGGGAGCTGGAAAATCCCGAATTTCCTGAGGAGGGGGCTCGGGGGTGATCCCGGGGGAAGGGGAGGGTGGAAAATGCCGGATTTTGAGGAGGGGGCTCGGGGTGATCCCGGGGGAAGGGGAGGGTGGAAAATGCCGGATTTTGAGGAGGGGGCTCCCGCTGTCCCCGCAGGAAGAGCTACCGGGGGCTGGGCCTCTTCTGGCTGGGCTCGCTGCTGATGAGCGCCGTGGTTTTCCTGCTGGGCAACCTGATCGGTAGGGCCGGGCCCGAGCCCCATCCCCCGGCAGGAGGAGGAGGAAGGGGAGGAAGGCTCCGTGCCCACCCCGCGCTCTCTCCCGCAGGGAAATACAGCCCCGAGCTGAGCCCGTCCTTCCTCCTCAACCTGCCCTACCTCCTCCTCCTCGCCTGGGCCGGCCGCCGCCTCTTCCAGCAGCCCCGGGCGCTGCCGAGCCTCAGCCCCGAGCAGGTGAGGCCGGAGCCGGGGGGGTTTGGGGGCGGCTGCTGCGCTCCCAGGGCGGGACCAGGGGGTGCGGACCCCAAAAACCCCGAAATTCCTCTCGCAGATTGCAGAGAAGCAACGCAAAGCCCTCTACCAGCGGCCCCAGGACCTGCTCCTCATCCTCATCCTCATCCTCACCGCAGCCTTCACCTTCTTCAGGGGGATGGTGAGGGCTTGGGGAGCTCGGGGGGTCCTGGAGGGGCTCAGGGTGGTCCTGGATGGACTCGGGGGGCTCTTGTCAGGGATTTTGGGGGTCCTGAGGGGTCTCGAGATGGTCCTGGGGGGGCTTGGGGGGTCCTGGAGGGTCTCGAGTGTCTTCGGGAGGGTTTTGGGGGTCCCGGCAAGGATCTCGGGGGTACCAGGGAGGGTTTGGGGGTCCCAGGGAGGGTTTTGGGGGTCCCGGGGAGGGTTTGGGGGTCCCGGGGAGGGTCTCGGGGGTCCCGGGGAGGGTTTGGGGGTCCCGGGGAGGGTTTGGGGGTCCCGGGGAGGGTCCCCTGCCCTCGCCCCCTGTGCCCCCAGGTGGTCCTGGACTGCCCGGCCGATTCCTGCTTTGACTACACCTACCTGCACGAGCCCTACCTGCGCGACCCCGTGGGCTACCCCAAAGTGCAGGTGAGGGGCGGGGGCAGCACGGGAAGGGCCGGGCCCGCTCCAGGTGCCCCGGGGGTGACGGTCCGGGTGCCCGCAGATGCTGATCCTCCTGTTCTACCTGCTGCCCTTCCTCCTGCTCGCCGTCTACGGCCTGGCCGTGCCCGGCTGCTCCTGGCTGCCCGACTGGAGCCTGGTGTTCGCCGGCGCCGTGGCGCAGGTGGGCGGCCCCAAAATCCCGGGATTTGGGGGGAAAATCCCAAAAATGGTGATCCTGAAATCCCGGCATTTGGGGGGGAAAAATCCCAGACGGGGCGACCCCAAAATCCCGGGATTTGGGGGAAAAAATCCCAAAAATGGTGATCCTGAAATCCCGGCATCTGGGGGGGAAAAATCCCAACCAAGAAAAGGGTTGGGGCTCAGTTTTGGGGTGGTAAATCCTGATTTGGGGTGCAGATCCCGGGTTTGGGGTGCAGATCCCGGGTTTGGGGGGCAGATCCCGGGTTTGGGGGGCAGATCCCGGGTTTGGGGTGAAGATCCCGGGTTTGGGGTGCAGATCCCGGGTTTCGGGGGGCAGATCCCGGGTTTGGGGCCAGATCCCGGGTTTGGGGGGCAGATCCCGGGTTTGGGGGGCAGATCCCGGGTTTGGGGGGCAGATCCCGGGTTTCGGGGGGCAGATCCCGGGTTTCGGGGGGCAGATCCCGGCTTTGGGGGGCAGATCACGGGTTTGGGGGGCAGATCCACAGCTGCAGCTGCAAGTGGAGCAGCTTGCTTGGCTGGCTGATAATTGCCTCGGTCTCGGTGGATTTGGACAGAACCCGGGATTAGTGGGACAGAAATAGGATGGAGAGAGACGCAGGGCTATAGATAGGATGGGCTGGAGCCAAAAACCCCTCTGAGGTCGGGGCTTTGCACCTTTTAGGGCCGGAACTTTGCGCATTTTGTGTCCAGGGATTTGCACCTTTTAGGTCCGAGGGTCTGCGCCCTTCGGGGCCGGGATTTTTGCACATTTTAGGGCCAGAGTTCTGCACCTTTTAGGGTCAGGATTGCCCTCTTTGAGCCTGGGGGGCTGCACCTTTTAGGGCCGGGGCTTTGCCCCCTTTGGGGCGGGGGGTTCGCACCTTTTGGGGCCGCTCCGCTGTGACGGCCCCGCCGCACCCCGGTGTCCGCAGGCTCAGTTCGCCCACCTGGGCTCCTCGCTGCACTCCCGCACGCCCTTCCCGTACCAGACCCCCGAGGAGGTGCTCTGGAGTTTTCTGCTCTCCAACGTCCTCTACGCGCTGGGCCCGCAGCTCCTGGCGCTGCGCTGCCTGCGCTCCCCGGCCTTCTTCGTCCCCGCGGCCAGCCCGGGCCTGGCCCGCGCCAAAAAGCGCCAGTGACGGGTCCGGCTGGTCCCCGGGGCTGCTGGCACCTCTCTGGGGCTGCTGTCACCTCCCTGGGGCTGCTGTCCCCACCCGGGGGATCCCGCCCGGTGCCTCTCGCCCCGTTCCAATCGCTGGGAGCGGAGATGTCCCCGGAGATGTCCCCAGAGATGTCCCCAAAGGTGTCCCCAGAGGTGTCCCCAGGGAAACTCCGGTCCCCCAAAAGCTGTGGGGGGACCTCGGACGCTCGGCGGGGACATCGCTGCAGTCTCAGCCCGGCCCGTGTGGGGCTGGCGGGGGCCGCGCTGGGTCCCGGTGGGTCCTGGTCCCGTCCCGGTGGGTCCCGGTCCCGTCCCGGTGCCCCGGCTCGGGCTGGGAGGGTTCGGGGGTGGCGGCAGCGCCAGGGGGACGTTGGTGACAAAATAAAGGAGCCAAGGTTCGCTCCGAGCCGTGCGCCCGCCGTGCCCAGCGAGGGCCCCCGCGCCAGGCGGGGACACCGGGGACACCGGGGACACCGGGGCTGGGCCGGGGTCCCTGCGGTGCCGCGGGTGGGCTCAGGGCGGGATTTTGGGGGTGGGACCGGGGTTTTTGGGGGTGGGCACACGGCGGGGGTGGTGCCGGGGTTTGGGGGTGGCGCCCGCCGGGTGGGTGTGGGATTTTGGGGGGTGGGCACACGGCGGGGGTGGTACCGGGGATTTTGGGGTGGCACCGCCGGGTGGGTGCCCGGGCTGGGGCTGGGTGGGCACGGCCGCCCTTGCGGTGCCCGCGGCGGGGATTTACCGGCTCCGGTTCCTCTGACCCGCGCGCTCCCCGCCCGCAGCCCGGCCGGGGGTCCCGGCGGTGCCGGGGGCTCCGGGGCGCACCGGGCGGGCCGGTGACCTTGGCGAGCAGCCGGTCCTGCGCAGCGCCGGCACCGGGGCAGGGCCGGGCCGAGCTCCCGGTGTCGCCCCCTGCGCGGAGCCGCAGCGGCGGCACCGGCGGAGCAACCGGAGGAGGCAGCGGGGGAGGCACCGGAGGAGTTACCGGCAGCACCGGCGGGCCCCTCCCGCGGGCCGGCACCGGGCTCACGGTGAGTGCGGGGCTGCGGCCGCCGCTCCCTCGCTGCGGGGCGGGCGCGGGGCACCGGGACGGGACCCCCGGCACCGGGAGGGAGGCGGCGGGCGGGGGTCGCTCTCTGCGGGGCGGCGGCGGCAGGAACGGGGCTCCCCCCGCGCTGCGCTGTCCCCGCCCGGGCACCGGAGTCCCGCAGCCCCGGGGCTGCCGCCGCAGTGTCCCGCACTGCAACACCGCACCGGGCCCCGAGCGCCGCCACCGCCGCAGCCGCTGCCCCGAGCGGCGCCGGGACCCCGCGGCGCTGCCCCGCTCCTGCTGCCCCCGCAGCGGCCCCGGGAGTGCCCGGGGGGGTTTCCGATCCCCCCTGCCCCCACCGGGCACCGGGACCCCCGGGGGGGCGGCCCCGCTTTTTGCGCCCCTCGAGCGGACCCCGAGCCCCCGGCAGGGGCCGCCCCGCTCCCTTTGCCCCCGGACACGGCGCCGGGACCCCCGGCCGGGGGCGCTGCCCCTGCCCCCGATGGGGCACCGGGACCCCCGCGGGGGCAGCCCCAGGGCCAGGCTGGCATTTGGGGCGCCCCCAGAGCGCGGGGCTCAGCATCGCAGTCCCCCGAGGAGGGGGAGGCTCCTCCCGCGCCCCCTCCGCGCTGTCCTTGGGGCGGGGGCGCTGCCGGGGGTCTGGGGGGCACCGCTGCCCGCTCCGTGCCCACCGGTTCCCCTTCCAGAGGTGCCATCGATAACTCGGGAGATCCGGCTCGCTGCGGCTGCCGTGGGATTTCCATCCCTGCTGGGAGCCCCGGGGCTCCCGAGCTCAGAGCCGGGACCGGGGGGTCCCTGCGGGGCTGGGGGGCTCCGGGGGCGCCCCTCGGGCTGGGCGCTCGGGGGGTAGAGCGGGGGATCCCCCCAGGCCCGGGGTTTGGGGGGCTCAGGGCGCTGCTGTCCCCCCCAGATGCGTCCCCAAAGCCCCTGGGCCGCCGGGCCCGCAGCGCTGCTGCTCCTCGCCGCCCTGGCGGCCTCCGAGGCGCTGCCCAGCGCCCGCGGCAGGAAGAAGGTGGTTCATGTGATGGGTGAGTGGGGTCTGCGATGGGGCTGGGGCGGCTTTGGGATCGGGGCAAGCGCCTGCAGCCTTTGCGGTGCTGGGCTTAACGCCATCAACGCAGGGCCAGGGCTCCGGTGTGTCCCCCGTGTCCCCCCGGTCCTGTGGGAGCCGTCCTGGCGTTATCCCGGGCTCTCCTTAGGGTTGGCAAAAAAAAGGGGAATTGCACCCAAATGTGTCCCCACATCCCCATCCCGCTTTGCCCCTAAAAGCAGGGAATTCCCCCCAAAGTGTGTCCCCACATCCCCATCCTCCTTTACCCCATAAAAAGAGGAACTTAACCCAAAAGATTTTCCCACATTTCCATTCTACTTTGCCCCTAAAAATGGGGAATTCCCTGCAAAGTGCGTCCCCACATCCTCATCCTTCCTTGCCCCTAAAAGCGGGGAATTCCCCCAAAGTTCATCCCCACATCCCCATCCTCCTTTACCCCATAAAAAGAGGGGGACTCCCCCAAAATGCACTCCCAAGCCCCTTCGCCACGCGGCCCCGTGCCAGCCCTGGGGTGGCGGCGGTCCCTGCCCGAGCCGTGTCCGTCCGCAGAGGGTGACAGCGGCGCCGTGGTGGTGCAGACGGCGCCGGGCAAGGTGGTTTCGCACCGCGGCGGCACCATCATCCTGCCCTGCCGCTACCACTACGACGTGTCCGCGCACGACCCGGCCGAGATCCGCCTCAAGTGGACCAAAGTGACCGAGCCCATGGCCTTCGTGGACGTGTTCGTGGCCCTGGGCAAGGCCCGCCGGGCGTTCGGGCCCTACCGGGGCCGCACGGCCCTGCAGGAGGACGGCGTGGGCGACGCGTCCCTCATCATCCGCAACGTGACCCTGCAGGACTACGGGCGCTACGAGTGCGAGGTGACCAACGAGCTCGAGGACGACACCGGCGTGGTCAAACTGGACTTGGAAGGTGGCTTGGGGCGCTCTCGAGGCGGCGCTCCCGGGGTTTTCGGGGGCTGTGGGCTATGGGGTCGTTATGGGGCTTTTCTGGGGGGGAGGGTTTGGGGTGGGGGCTCACAGAGGCTGTGGGGTGAGGGCTCGGAGAGCAGCGGGGGACGGGGCAGTGGAAGGGGGAAAATGCCGCTTTAGGGGTTCGGGGGTGGCAGAGGGGAAAACGCTTTTTTAGGGGTTCAGAGGGCGCAGTTTGGGGGTGCCAGGGCTTGGCTGGACCCCGCGCAGGCACCACCGATGCTCCCAAACCCCAGAGCAGAATCTCCTGGAGTCTGGGGTTCCCAGAACTCCCCAAACCCCTGGGACGACGAGTGGGATTTTCCAGGCGATTCTCCCAACCAGAGTTCCCATTTTCCTAAACCCCAGAGCAGAATCTCCTGGAACCCGGGGTTCCTGGAACTCCCAGAACTCCTTGCAGAGGGATGATGAGCGGGATTTTCCAGGCCATTCTCCCAGCCAGAATTCCCGTTTTCCCAACCCCCAGTACAGAATCTCCTGGAGTCTGGGGTTCCCAGAACTCCCCAGACTCCTCGGATGATGAGCGAGATTTTCCAGGCGATTCTCCCAACCAGAATTCCCATTTTCCCAAACCCCAGAGCAGAATCTCTCGGAGTCTGGGGCTCCCTGCAGCCCCAAACCCAGAACTCCCAAAACTCCTTGCACGGGGAATGACGAGCGAGATTTTCCAGGCGATTCTGCCCCACTCCAAAGCCTCAGCCCGACCCAAAGCCGCCCCAACCCGGCTCCTCCCTCGCAGGGGTGATTTTCCCGTACCACCCTCGCCTGGGGCGCTACACGCTGAATTTCCACGAGGCGCAGCAGGCGTGCCTGGAGCAGGACGGGATCCTGGCCTCGCACGATCAGCTGCACCAGGCCTGGCTGGAGGGCATGGACTGGTGCAACGCGGGCTGGCTGCAGGACGGCTCCGTGCAGTACCCGATCTCCCGGCCCCGCGAGCAGTGCGGCCGCAAGGACACCCCCGTGGGCGTCCGCAACTACGGCTACCGCCACAAGGAGAGCGAGCACTACGACGCCTTCTGCTTCACCTCCAACCTCAACGGTGAGGGGACACCGAGGCACGGAGGGTGCCCGTGCTGCGAGCGCGAGGATGCAGTGGTGGCGTTGGAACGCTGAGTTCAAGCAAAAAAAAATTTTTTTAAGCCAAAATATGGGGTTTTTTTAGCCAAAATCTCCTCTTTCTTATCCAAACATTATTTTTCTTTGAAATCCAAACCCTCTTGTTTTAATCCAAAGCCTCTTTTTTTTTTTTTTAGCCGATACCTATTTCTTTTAAACCCAAAACCTTTTTTTTTTTTTTTTAATACAAAACTTTTCTTAGCCAGACCCTCTTTTTATTTTTAACCCAAAACCTCTTGGTTTTAGCCATAATCCCCTATTTTTCATCCAAAAGAAAAAGCAGCCATAATCTCTTCTTTTACATACTTTTTTTAGCGAAAACCTCTTTTGTTTAAGGACTGTTTCAGATGCTCCGCAGAGCTTCCATCACCTCCAAAATCGTATTGGAGTCTCCCCAGTGCCGATACCCCTCAACCTCCCCAGCCTCCCCAAAACCTTTCCGGGGCTCCCCAGGGCTTCCATCCATCCATCCCCAAAAAACGCCTCGAGGGCGCTCCATCCCCTTTATCCCCCTCTTCCAGGCAAGGTTTATTTCCTGAAGACCTTCCGCAAGCTGAGCTACCCGGAGGCCGTGCAGGCGTGCAAGAACAACGGCGCGGCCGTGGCCAAGGTGGGGCAGCTGTACGCGGCCTGGAAGCTGCAGCTGCTGGACCGCTGCGAGGCGGGCTGGCTGGAGGACGGCAGCATCCGCTACCCCATCGTCAACCCCCGCGCCCGCTGCGGCGGCCGCGAGCCCGGCGTGCGCAACCTCGGCTTCCCCGACAAGAAGTACAAGCTCTTCGGCGTGTACTGCTTCAAAAAGGCCGGGGAGGCCCCGCCCGTGGTGGCCGCGGGGTTCCCCAAACGCGTGTGAGGGTTGGGGGCGGCCCGGCAGCGCGCCCGGCTTTGGTTTGGGGTTTGGGGTTTGGGGTTTGGGGTCTGCCCCCGCCGCCGAGCCCCGCGCGGTGCGGGGAGCTGCGGGCAGCCCCCGCCCAGGCACCGAGAGGCGGCGGCGGCGGCGGCGCGGGCTGGCGGCCCCCGGTGGCGCCTGGGGACACCGGGGCGGCGGCAGGGGCCGGGTCCGTGAGCCCGGCCAGGAGCCTGCGCCCGGCCCGGGGCCGGCTCCGCGCTCCCCGCAGCTCTCGCTTCTCGACGCGCCTGTTGCATGCGCTAAAGCGCCGCAGAGCCCCCGCCCTCCTCATCCTCCGCCCGTCCCGCGCTGAGCGACCCCCCCAAAATCCCCCCGTGGCGCTGGGCGAGGATTGGGGACGCCGGGTTTGGCTCCGTGCCCCGGCCGGAGCCCCCGGGGCAGCTCCGGCTTGGCTTGGCCGGGCCCGGAGCGGGGAGGGCCGGGGGCAGCGGCCGCAGGCTTTGGCAGCCCTGGACGTAGATGAAATAAAAGCTTCGGCCGCTTTGGGAGCTGAGCGCGGCTCCGCCGTGTCCTTGGGGCCGCCCGGGGGGCTCGGGGCCGCTCCCCGCTCGCCCGGGGCATCCTTGGATCCATCGGGGCTGGATCCGAGGAGCAGCAGCGGAGCCGCCCCGCGGGGGTGACACGGACGGGGAGCCCCGATTCGGAGGGGCTCGGGACGTGCTCCAGCTGAGCACAGCCCGCAAATCACCTTCAATGGCTGGGAATAAACGTCTGTCACAGCCCCGGGAGGGGACAGCGGGGCTGTGGGGCCGGGAGGACCTCGGGGGCAGTGGTGGAGGATGTTGTAGGCAGGAATCACCCCAAAAAATCCATTGGCGCCCCCTCATCTCGTCCCCCTTGAGATGGGGGGGGCGACAGGGACACAGGCGACGGCCACCACCGCGAGCAGGTGGCGGATGTGACACGGGGGGCCCTGGGGGACAGTTTGGGGCTGCTCGGAATTGATGGGGGGCGGCGAGGGGAGGCAGCTGGGGAGCGGCGCCGGGCGGGGGCCACGTCCCGAGGTGCCCAGGAAAGGGCGGGGGGCGCTCAACTGTTAAAAAAATTTATTAAAATGTCCAGCAGTACAGAAAGGCAGAGTCAGAAATGGGGAGGGGGCGCCAGGAGGGGGTCGGGGAGGGGGTGGGGACACGGCAGTCACGTCGCAAACAGCAGAGATCGGGAAGCGCCGTACACACACACGCACACGCCAACTCCAACGGGGACCCGAAACGAACGGAGAGGGGACGGAACCAAACCGAGCGCCCCCAGAGCAGGCGCGGAGCGGGACAGGGACCCCGCCGCCACCGTGTCCCCCCCGCCCCACCCGTGCCGGCCGCGGGGACGCCCCGGGGAGCTGGGGCAGGGAAATGGGGACGGGGGCGCTGCTAAAAAACCGGAGCCACCCCAGGCGGGACAGGGGGGGTCGCCTGATTCACCCCCGATTTGGGGACAGGGACAGAGCCCAGCTTGGGGGGTCCCCGTGCGGGGCTGGGGGCTCCAGCCCGGGCCGGGGGCTGAGCGCGGGACATGCAGGGAGGGCTGGGGACGCACACGCAGCCGCCCCCTCCGGATCCTATTCCCTACGGGGCCGGGCATCCTAAGGAGCTAAAGCCAAAAAGGGGGCTAAAAAAGGGGGGCGGGGAGGGGGTGGGACGGGGGCGG